TAGGGTCTTCAGAAAAGTTACCAGACTACTTCCCCTCTAAACCAGTACGCGGTGTTGCAACCCTGAAACCTAGACCCCCACGGCGGTCGGACATCAACCCTGATATGAGCCCTCTGAAGCTGAAGCCCTGACCGTTCTTTGCCCGCCGCCGCTGGACCAGGGAAGCTGGGCATCGAAAGTCTTCTGGAAGATCCCGAGGTTGGCAAAGGGTCGAGTTCTCACGGTTGGGGGCATTAAGTTTCAGCATTGGCGTGACAGCGTCGGCCTCCTCGCATTCCACTACTGCTACTACCCCTGCTTCTTTCCTACTGCTGTTGCTGCTGCTGCTGCTGCTACGAGTACTACCACTGCAACAACGACGACGTGCCACCACTGCTGTTACTACGACCTCTTGTACTACTGCTACTACTAGTGCTGCTACTACTACTACTACTACTACTCCTACTACTACTACTACTACTACTACTACTACTACTACTACTACTACTACTACTACTACTACTACTATATCTACTTCAACAACTATTGCTACGGCTACCGCTGCCGCTACCACTGCTACCACCGCAACCACTGCTACTTGCTACTGCCACGGCCACTGCCACTGGCCCTGCTACTGCTGCTGCCGCTATTACTACTGGACTCCACTGCTAGGGGCATTGCTGCCGCTACTATCACTGCTACTGCTGCTACGACGACGACTACTACTTCTGCGACTGCCACGACGACGACTACTACTGCACATCTATTGCTACGGCTACCGCTACCGCTATACCGCTACCGCTATACTCTATACCGCTACCGCTACACCGCTACCGCTATACCGCTACCGCTAGACCGCTACCGCTATACCGCTACCGCTATACCGCTACCGCTATACCGCTACCGCTATACCGCTACCGCTATACCGCCACCGCTATACCGCTACAGCTATACCGCTACCGCTATTCTGCTATCGCTACCGCTACACCGCTACTGCTACCCCTGTTGCTACTGCTGCTCCTGCTGCTGCTGCTACTGTTCCTACTGCTACTACCACCACCACTACTACTACTACTACTACTACTACTACTACTACTACTACTACTACTACTACTACTACTACTACTACTACTACTGCTCCTGCTACTGCTACCACCCCTACCACTACCACTGCTACTACCGCCAGCACTACCACTCCACCACTACAACTACTACTAATGATAACAAGAATAATGATATTGATAAGAGGAGTAATACGGCCACAACTAAAACAACAAGTGCTACTACTACTACTACTACTACTACTACTACTACTACTCCTGCTGCTGCTACCACTACTACTACTACTACTACTACTACTACTACTACTACTACTACTACTACTACTATTACTACTACTACTCCTGCTGCTGCTGCTGCCGCTGCTGCGCTAGTGCTACTGCTGCTGCTGTTACTACGACGACGACTACTACTCCTGCTGCTACTACTACAACGACGACTACTGCTAGCACTACGACAACTATAACTACGACAACAGCGACGACGACTACCACTACCACTACCATTGCCACCATACCACTACGACAACTACAACTACAACTACAACGCCGACGACTACGGCGAGGACTACTATCACTCCTACTCTTTCTGCTGCTACTGCTATACTACCTTCCGATTTGAGGTTCCCTCGACCCCACCGCTCCTTCGCAGGAGATGGCACGCCTCCTGTCTCTGATGAATCAACTCCAGGATTGGGGCACTGGGGTGTGGGGTTGGGCGCAGGAGCTGGGAATGAGTACAGGCGCCTATTCTGTTGCAGTGGGAGGCCAAACCTTTTACGTCAGCCGAAGGACGCCGGGTTCCATACCCTACATGTAGTCTATCAGCTTGACCCGTTGCATGTTGTGGGACATGATTCGCAAAATCTGTGCTGGCGAGGAGATTTTCGAGCGTTGCGGACTATCGAGCCTGCTGGAGAAGCCTTCGGAGCTGGAAGCAATGTCACCTGGTCATCTTTTAGAGTGTCGGTTCCTTGATGCTGCCATTTCTTTCGCTCCTGGCCACCTTTTTCAATCAAGTCACATTATGTCTTCCACTTTTCGGTAGGAAAAAACAAAGAAGTGAGCAGTGAATCTGGATTCGACCCTGCTACACAGCTGAGGCTTTTACGCTACAAAGCCATGCAGGCCTCCTTCGAGAAGAACGGCTTCTCGGAGTTGTTTGAGGATACCGACAGGCTGGACAAGTTCCTCGAGACTCACCGACAGGCTCGGAAAGCATTTCTGCTCTTAACGCTGTGTGCCACTCTTTGGTTGTCCCTGGGAGTTTTGCATGCGGGGGATGCAGGTCCGGTTGTCGTTCCAAGCTGCCGGCTTCGAGAATTTGCTTGATGATGCCGCTGCCGCTGGCCATATGTTTCTAAGCAGGACCCACCAACCCTAAACTCTGACATCTCTCGTTCGCAGCCGAGTGACAGCAGCACTGCCCGAGCGAAGGTCCGCAATCGCGGATATGCAGTTTTCAGATAGGGGATTTCAGATAACTGTCCCGAGACGGCTATGTACTCACCTCAACCCGCCTGAGTCCAGAGTAGGGCTGTCAGAATGCTCGTCGAGAGCAAAACTCCACTCAGGCAGCAGAGCAGTTCTTCCAAAAGCGGCAGGCTTTTTGCGTCCAAACTGTTGAAAGCACTGTTGCGACCGGGGTGTCGCACCCGCAAGCACAAGAGTAGGGAGTTTCTTCATGCTGCGGAGATAGCTATTGGCTGAGTTCATGTACAAGGGGTTCTGCAGATGGGTATCGTGAACCGTCGGAGCGCATCACACTCCATCTCGGGATGGATGTGGTATCATGTACTGACAGAAAAGCAATCCAAAGCCATCATGGTGCACGAAAGAACCGTGGCCACCAAAAGCCCTGGTACAAAGCATAAACCCTACTATGATTAAGACCTTAAGCCTTCTTGAAGATTGAGTTTGATGCTGTGACACCCCGCAGAAGCCTTTCTCAACCTCCACAAAATCCTACTGCCCAAAGTGGCTCCATGAACCGGCAATCAATCTGACTACGTGAGCATGCACACGTCTAGAGTCTGGACACGTGGCTGCTGTCTCCGTTTCGTTTCCATATCTCCCCCTCTCATCCCTTTTTCTCTGAAAATATTCTTTTGCAGAACGCAATAGCGTAAGTATGTAGTTTTCCACGTGTTTACATGTCCAGAACTTGTATATTACTAAACTGAAATGGCCGTGGATGAAGACCTCTGATAACCATATCACGGACGACAAAGATCACAACTTCCACTGCAACGGCTACTGCAACTGCTGCTGCTACTCTCCTGCTACTGCTGCTACTGCTGCTACACCTACACCTACACCTACACCTACACCTACACCCACACCTCCTGCTCCTGCTCCTGCTCCTGCTCCTGCTGCTGCAGCTGCCGCTGCTGCTCCTGCTCCTGGTCCTACTCCTACTTCAAAAACTACTTTTCCTTCCGCTTCCGCCCCTACTTCTACTTCTTCTTCGACGACGGCGACTGCTGCCAGTGCTATCGCCACTACCGCCGCCGCCGCCGCGGTAATAGTGAGGATACTTATTCTCTTGGTATTATAATAATAGTTATGGTAACAGCAACAAACATGTTAAGAAAAGTAGTGCTATCATAATTAAAAGTTATGGTAGCATTGGTAGTGGCTGCACTAACAGGAATAGTTACGAATGATGAGGATGATGATAATGGTGACGCTGACGGGGATGTTCAGAAAATGCTGATCAGACCCGGGGCCAGGCTGACTGCAATATGAATCCCTGTGTTGACAGAAAGGTCTCCAAGCATTTTGGTAAGGGCTATTAGCAAGAGTCAAAAAATGCTGGCAGGTTCTTCCACTCATTCCTGCTAGCTGTGCTGTTCTATCACTGTCCATGTAGGTTTGTTTTTGGCCACGACGAGAGGCAGACCTAGAGTCTTCCGCGGCCGCCTCCGAGAGCGTCGCAGCTTTGGAGGCCCAGCTCCAGCAAGTGACTCAGGACACGGGGAAAGAACGGGAACGGGCAGGGGATGTTGAAAGTGATCACGTTCTCCGCTTCAGGGCTGTGGCGTGTGTTTGGGTGATGGCGCACAATATGGTTGAAGCTGCCTCAGTTTTTGTCAGCATGTTCTTTGGATTCTGGGGCCGTTGACTGAGGCTTTGGAATTTCGGGGGATGTGGCAACAGACCTGCGTTAAGGACTCTTGCAGGCTCGTTGCGAAAACTTGGTGGTCACTAGCTGGTCAACCAGCTTGTTGTAGCTGACTCAGGTGAAAGCTTTCGAGCGATGTTTTCCGCTTAAAGCATTGGGTTGGTTGGTAGTTTTGCGGTCATGTCTTCGGTCTCAAGTCCGAGTTACTACGTTGCTCCGATGCTACTCGTACTGCATACAGGTCCTGCGCCACAGAACGAGCTGTAAAACAAAAGTCAAAATGGGAGGGACCTGAGTCCCGATTAACGGGCATTGTTAAAACGGTGCGATGCGTGCACTTGCAGTGGACGTCAGTGTTTCAATCTTTGGGTGGAGGCATCGCAATAATTAGTCCATCAGGTAGCTGCTTGCATGGTCTTCGGTGGCTTACCTGTGTTGTCCGTGTGTGAGGTAAGCGTGCTTGAAGAGTTGGCCACCATGGTCAGTGTTTTGTCTGCTCTCTTCGTGCTTCCTGTAGGTCCTGAAGGCACAGGTAACACGGCATGGCCAGACATGCACTGGATGATGTGATCTGAGGGTGACCTAGCAAGTTGTCAGCCTTCTTTGAGGCTGTGTGTAGTCTTATGTATATGAGCCTGATGTGCAAGTTAGTAGTTTTTTCAAGTCTGAGACACGCTAGCGCCGCTAGCTGCTATAGCGACTGCCAGGACTTGGAGGCGATGCAGGGACAGCGCGATGCTCTGCAGCGCGAGTGCGACGAGATCAAGGATCGGCTTGAGGCGCACCGCGTGGGCCAACTGGTCAGTTTCAATTCGGACCGACATGGCTTAGCTCTCTAA